TTGATGAGCTTCACCTCCTCATCCAGGATTTTCCAGGAAGTCAACAGAGATGAGGATCTGTGCCAGCAGAAGCCAGGGCATGAAGATCCAAGAGGGCCTGGTTCAGGCTCTTCTCCAGGGCCAAGGCAGCTTCCATGGCCTCCTGGGATTTACCCCACTCATCTTGAGATGGCTTCTGCACATCCTGGAACAGTGCTCGGCCCCCTCAATTGTCCTGCATCTTGAGCAGCCGCTGAGCGCCCTCGCGCTTTTCCTCGGCCAATTCGCAGAAGAAGTGGCCTACACCCTCCAGGGCCACGTCATCCCGGTCAAAATAGCAGCCCAAAGTGAGGTAGGTGTTGGAGGCCCGCAGGTGCAAGCTGACCAGGCCGTTCACTGCAGCCTCCACTTTGGTGGAATAATTCTAGGAGCTCATGGCTGATACGCAGTATGGAGCTAACCCGCGAAGAGGCGGTGCTGGCTGGTCCTAGGAGCCGAAGGCTGCAAGGAAATGGTCCCAGAGGCTGCGACTGGAGATAGTGAAAGGTGCTGGAAGCTAACAAAGGGATTCCCGGGGTCTGCTCCGTCCAAACACTGTTGAAGCAAGACAGACATGGGATCTCCGGGGCGCTGCTCTGTTGTTCGATTTCCTAAAAGTCTTATAATAAAAAAAAAAAAAAAATTGTACTAGATACTTGGGTAAATATCGAAAGACCAGAGAGACAAAGGAACAAGCCACTGCCATGTCCTACCTCTAGGACTCCTCAGTCTGAAAAGCCTCCTCAGCCGAAAAGCCTGTCTCCTCACACCTTATATACCTTTCTCCACCCAGCCATCATTTCCTTCCTAGTCCTGGGATTAATGGTGTGTGTGTGTGTGTGTGTGTGTGTGTGTGTGTGTGTGTGTGTGTGTGTGCGCGTGCGCGCCCGCGCGTGCGCGTGCACTTCCCAAATACTGGGATTAAAGGTGTGAGATCTCAAGTGCTGAGATTAAAGGCATGTGACTCCCAAGTACTGGGATTAAAGGTGTGTGCCACCACTGCCTGACTCTACTTCTGCCTAGACTGAATCAATCTCATGTAGATCCACAGAGATCCAGAAAGATCTTTGCCTCTCCGGTGCTAAGATTAAAGGTGTGTTCCACCACTGCCTCGCATCTAAATTTAATCTAGTGGCCCGTTCTGTTCTCTGATCTTCAGGCAAATTTTATTAGGGTACACAATATATCACCATACACAACTGTCTGTGACTCCAGTTCCAGAGCATCTGACACCTTCACACAGACATACATGCAGGCAAAACACCAATGCACATAAAATAAAAGTAGTTTTAAAAAAAAAAGAGTTGCTGTGGTCATGGTGTCTCTTCAAGGCAATATAGACTTTAACTAAGACAGAGCCCTTAGAAAGACAATCCTGGCTGGGCAGTGGTGGCGCATGCCTTTAATCCCAGCACTCAGGAGGCAGAGCCAGGCGGATCTCTGTGAGTTTGAGGCCAGCCTGGGCTACCAAGTGAGTTCCAGGAAAGGCGCAAAGCTACACAGAGAAACCCTGTCTCGAAAAACCAAACATAAATAAATAAATAAATAAATAAATAAATAAATAAATAAATAGAAAAAAGAAAAAGAAAAAGACAAAAGAAAGACAATCCCTCTTTAGCTCTACAAATTTGATACAAATTGATTTAAGGGAAATTCCGGGATCTATAAAGTTCTGAGACAAAAATTTATTAACACTTAACACCAACCCAATTGTTGAAGGTTGGGTATGTACTTAAAAATATAGGCTGGAGGGGCTGGAGAGATGGCTCAGAGGTTAAGAGCACAGACTGCTTTTCCAGAGGTCCTGAGTTCAATTCCCAGCAACCACATGGTGGTTCACAAACATTTGTAATGAGATCTGGTGCCATCATCTGGCCTGCACTCATACATGCTGTATACATAATAAATAAATAAATATTTAAAATATATATATATACATATATATATACATATATATACACACACACATATATACATATATATGTACACACACACACACACACACACACACACACACACACACACACACATATATATGCCAGAAGCCGGTCAGTAGTGGGTGGTGGTGGTGGTGGTGGTGCCCGCCTTTAATCCCAGCAGTTGGGAGGCAGGGCCAGGTGGACCTCTGTGAGTGTGAGGCCAGTCTGGTCTACAGAGCGAGATCCAGGACAGCCAGAGATACAGAGAAATCCTGTCTCAAAAAACCAAAACAAACAAACAGACAAAAATGTAGGGCAGGCTTAGTGGCATGTGCCTTTAATCCTAGCACTCAAGAGATTGAGGCAGGCAGATATCAGTGAGAGCAAGTTCCAGAACAGCCAGGGCTACACAGAGAAACCCTGTCTGGAAAAAACCAAAATCAGAAAGAAAATGTAAAAGCAAGCATTGCTGCCGAGTCCTCGGCAATGCCAAAGCAGCAGCACACACTTGGGGTGATGTATGAGTTACTCTTCTGCTGCTGTGACAAAACACCATCGCCACAGACAACTTAAGGAAGAAGGAGGTTGTCTGGGCTTCCATCTCCAGAACGAGAGTCCATGACAACGGTGGAGGCATGGCAGCAGATGGCCCGAGCAGGGAACTGAGAGATCACACCTTCAACAGCAAACACAGCAGAGAGAGAACAGGAAGTAGGACAAGGCTATTCACTCTCAAAGCCCACCCCCAGTGACGCACTTCCTCCAGTAAGGCCAGACATCCTGAAGGTTCTGTTACCTCCCCAAACAGCACCGCCAACTGGGATCCAGTGTTGACTTACCTGAGCCAATGGGGACGTCGCTCACGTAAACCTCCACAGGTGTGTTATATTTCTGCCTGTAATGAGGCTTGCGATCCAAGGGCTTGCAGGTTCAACTGAGATCTCTTTGCCTGGATCCAGGGAATGTTGCTCCATGTGTGTGGTGAGAGGGGCCTGGATTTTTAGGAATTTCTTCTGGTAAGAAAAACCGAACAACTTTCTCCCCAGTTGGCTTGAAGAGGGCAATGGTATTTAGTCAAGTTCCGTGTAGCTCCGGGATGCCATTTTATCTAAGTCACTTGAACATTCATGGATTTTAATGTCTTCAGGGGTTACAGGAACCGATACCCACCAAACCCAGTGGTTACTAAACACCAGAGTGTGGCATGGACAAGACAGGACGGGGGAGAACGGGGAGAGGGGACTTCACAGGAGACACCTTAAGTGAGCCAGCGCCCCTGACCTTCATTCCCTCCTCCCTCTCTTTTTCCTTTCCTTTCTTTGTGTCCCCATCCCCCAGCTCAAGACAAGGTCTCACTATGTAGCTCAGGTTAACCTTTAACTTGCTATGTATCCAGAATCTCCTTGAACTTCTTATCACCCTGTCACAGCCTCCCTGGGCTTACACTGGGATTACAGGTTTGTGCCTTCCGCTGTGCTCCGACTTTAAAATGTCATCCTGGGCTGGGAATGCAGCTCAGGGCTACAGCACTTACCTAGCGTGTGTGACGACCTAGTCCAATACCCAGCACCAGAATGACAGGGACAGGGGAGATGAGTGTAGAGGAAGAGTGCTTGCCTCCCAGGTTCAGTCCCCCCAAGGAGAAAGAGGTGTCAAGGATGACCCCTGGGGCTCGGGTCTAGCTCAGTCAGGTAGAGTGTATGCTTATGGTTTGTAGGTATGAACCAGATGAAGACACACTGTTTGACATGTCTGATGGATGCCCAAGTGGAACAGAGGACTGACATCTGCAGCTCAAAGGGGCAGTCAGTCTGGAGTAGGCCCAGGTCTGCAGCATTTGGATGGCATTTAAATTCTTGGAACTGGATGAAATCACCTGGGTTACAGAATCTAGAAAAACCAGTATTGGAGGACAAAGAGTAACAGAAGGAAGAGGAGGAAGAAGAGGAGGAGGAGGGAGAAGAAGAGGAGGAGGAAAAAGAGGGGGAAGAGAAGGGGGAAGAAGAGGAGGAGGAAAAAGAGGGGGAAGAAGAGGGGGAAGAAGAGGAGGAGGAGGAAGAGGAAGAGGAGGAGGAAGAGAAGAAGGGGGAGGAAGGGGAAGAGGAGGAGGAGGAGGAGGAGGAGGAGGAAGAGAAGAAGGGGGAGGGAGGGGAAGAGGAGGAGGAAGAAGAAGAAACAGCAATGAAATTCTAGGAAAGCCAAGTGAAAGCTGGCGTGGGAAACAAAGAGAAGCCGTGGAGTGCCAGCCTGGGGGCAGGACTGTCATCCATCTGCTTCAGAGGAGGCGGCTACAGGTCCAGAGTCAAGGGCTCTGCGGATCTATTTCCTCTGAGGAAGGTGGGGAGCAATCTGTTTTAGACTTCTCGTCCAGTGTCCGGTTATTTACTGTGAGATACATTTCTCTAACCTCTGACTTCATGTTCTCACAGCACTTTCTCTGCGTGCGCGTGCGCATGCACGCGCACACGCGCACACACACACACACACACACACACACACACACACACACGTCTCTGTCCAATTTCCACTTTTTATAAGTATTCTATTAATTAGATTAGGGCTCATCCTAATGACTTCATTTTTAACATGATCATCTGCAAAGAAGGAATTTCCAATAATATCAACTCGTAAGAATTGGGTGTTAGAGGTTCAGCATCTTATTTATAGAGGGCATAATTCAACCCCTAAGAGTTCAGAGACTAGATTGGAGGCTGAGTGTAGATGGGGCAGGGTGAAGGCCATCTTGGAGTAGCTTTAAGAGAGCATGAGAGCTGGGCAGCTATGACACACGCCTTTAATCCCAGCACTTGGAAGGCAGAGCCAGGTGAATCTCAGTGAGTTCGAGGCCAGCCTGGTCTACAGAGCGAGATCCAGGACAGGCACCAAAACTACACAGAGAAACCCTGTCTCGAAGAGAG